GGAATGCAGGAAACCTGAAGCATGGGGAATGAGGTGGTTTGGCAGCCTTTCCTCCATGCTGGCAGACTTGCTGCTCTCGTCTCAAATCTCCTTCCATTGGAGGAAAATGGCTGTTGTTGTTGGGAAGGGCTGCTACTTTCAGCAAGGTCCTGGGATGTGCCTTCCTCATGTCTGCCTGCTGAGGGTTCTGGCTGGGTGCAACAGAGAGGGGCTTGTTGCTCTGGCCCATAGGGTCTGCTAGGAAGGGTTTGTGAGTCTCCAGTCTAATAGAAGCAGCCCAGAGATGCTGTCTTCAAGATCACATATCCTCCAGTCTGGGTACAGTGGTCAGCCAATTGCCTTGATATTTGGCAGAGCATCCAGTGAGGTACCTGTCTGAATGCCAATACTCCCCCCTGTTTGCTAGTTTTCATTAGAATCAAAAGAGGAAAGAAAAGAAACAAAAAACCAAATGAACGTGGAATAAAAAATGAGATTTGTTTATGGAAAGCAGCAGGTTTGTGTGTGTTTAAAGGGGAATAATGCCTAACCCTGTGGAATACCCAGGTGCCAGCAGCAAGCCTGTGTGCATTCACCTTGCCTAATAAGATTTTGGCAGACCTTCTCCCACACTGGCTTTTCCACATCTGTAATCACCACTTTGCAGTATTGTGGTGGCCTCAGCTTTGCTGCCTCTGGGAAACAGGGCTATGGGGTACTGGGCCTGTGTTTCAACGCAGGCACACCTGCTACCATGGGCAGCAAGGATGAGAACCAGAGGAGCTTATACCTCTTCTGCACAGGAAGCCCAGAAGGACCTTGCCGCAGCACTCCTGTCCTTGATAACCCATAGGATAGCCATCCATCCACCCATGCCTCCCTCTCTCTCTCTGTGCCCGAGCTGTAATCCTGCCCACTTCAAATATTAGCCCTTACATCTGTCAAAAAACAGGGATGGTGGTGTAACTCCTTCAGCTTCCAAAACCAGCTTTTTCAGCTGTGCTGTCTGTCTGTCACTAGAGTGATATGGGGCAAGAAGACAGCAGGCGATTGTACAGGCTTGGCTAAAAAGTTCTGGACCTTGGACTTGGAGTGGAGAGCCCAGGGACAGGGAGGAAGCCAGCCTCTCTCATTGCCTCTTCC